TCTTTCAAATGTTACAACATTTAATTGCATGGAGCCACTGCTAAATATATGAAGCTTAACAACAGGACAGTTGATATGAAATAAATAAAAAAATAAATAACATTTATGAAGATGCCATAGCACTTGTTATAGAAATATTAAGAATCATGATTATATATATCATGAATTCTATTATGCGGTACAGCCGAACAGCTTTCAAGGCATCCTCTCTGCTCTCCATACAAGATGTGCCATCATGTATCAGTGAGAAGCAAACAGCAACCTGTTCACAAAAAACACCACCTTCAATCAACACTAAATAGCTTAAAGACTCAGCAGACAAATAGTAACAAAGGTTCTTATTTCACTGACATAGATTCACTTTGAGTTTCCAAAATGAATATTTTCTTTATTTAAAATGGTTTCATATATATAAACAGCAGTTCTTTCATACAAGGTGTTTTCTACCTGTAGGCTGTAACACACTAGCAGGTTGTGAAAATGGAAATTATAATTAATAAAGTGCTGGTATTTTGCAGAATTAAGTGCTTCAACATTCCTTGGTGTTCAAAACTAAATGAAATACCTACTTTAGAAGTCAAACTCTTGCACCCCAAAGAGTAAACAGCAACAGACTAAATGAACAGCTTATTATTCATTCAGTCAAGAAATATCAGTTTCATTTGTATGTTGTTTACCATTTATTGATAGTAGAAGCAAACACAATTTTATCAAAGATTACCAGGCAGAATTCATGAAACCCACTTTCCTGTTGCACTGACTTACACTTCTGCAAATTTTCTTCCATTAATGTCACAATTAGAGGACGTAAATTTATAATCCATCATATTGTGGCATAGAGACACGTTGCTGTGCAGACACCTCAAAACAAACAACAAACATGGCCATCGCTATGCAATACGCAAATCAACAAATAGCCACTTCTAGGCAACGGATCAATAAACACACCAAAACAATATAGGAACTGTTAAAAGTGGTGTTTTGTGTTGAGTCCGCCCCAAGGCTATACATCAAGGACCCCAGGGCAGGTAAGACGATAATTGACAGAGAGCTGTGACTTGGTAGTCAAAAGAGTTGAAATCTGCAAGAGAGGTGGAGAAAAGATGGCACTGCAGTTCGGTTGATGATCGAGTGTGTTTAGTTGTGAAATATTCGGTGCACAGGAAGGACCTGAACACAGGAAGCTGAAGAATTTCCACCATTAGAAGCCACTGCCAGGGAACAGCTGTTAGAAGACAGTGGGCTAGAAAAGGCTCAGGTGCTGTAGTGAATTGTAAAGTGTGGAGATCAGCAATAGCACTGTAATTACTTGTAGTTCCGAGTTGTGTCACTAAATTCAATTTCAAATCTATACCCCATCTATAGTCACCACACGTCCTAAATCGTGACAATATAAATTCATTTNAATACACCCCATACATTTTCACATCATTATATTCGGGCCAACTCAAAATCTGTTGCCTGCAATTGTAAATACAGCCAGGAGAGCACAATCAGTGCAATGACTAGACAACATGCTGGACAAACATGGCAGGATAACAGATTTTCTCTCCACCACATCAAGACTGACTGGTGATCTCATAAACCTGGTCTTTTTTCTTTAGCTAGGGAGAGAGTAGGATAAAAACAGCTGGCAAGAGCATGTACCTCAGTAGGCCATATCATTTTTCATTTTTTCACCTCTTTCAGCATTCAGAAATATGGGGAATTTTCACAATATATTCGTATTGTCACATGTTGGCTCTGTGATGCAACAAATAACTTCATGCCAGTAGAGGATCCAGCGAATTTCTCTTTTGCAAACTCGCTCATATAGTCCGGCTTTTGGGCAGCATGCCTCAACATATATTGTGACATGTCTAACCGTTGTGGGCAATGGGAGGTGGAACGAGTTACCACGAAGAAAGACCCTTGATAAATGGTCGGTTGCCAGGTTACGGAACAGTAAGGAAAGTGGCATTTCTCCATGCCATGCGAGTAGAGCCGAAGTGAGCCAAGCTGAAGCACGCTAGTTGCTACACGGCAATATGCAGCTCTTGGCAGCGTTGCCCAGTAACACCAGTAAACATGGCGATTAGCCAACAGGGAAGTGAGGCGTTTTCCATTGTCTGGCTGAGGGTTTATAAGAGAACTGCACTGCCTATGGAGTGAGTTAAAATGTAGGAGCCGCTGAAGATAGTTGAATTGTAGCAGTCGCTGAGTTCAGTTGTAGCGAGTGAATCGTGAATGTGAAGAAGACCGGAACATGTGATGAGAGGCGATAGTGTAGTACAGTTATATTGGGAGTGTGTAATTCAATGACACTTTTATAGCTCCCGTGTTATTAATACGTGAAGACTATTGAAGATAGAATGAACAGAGTATTGTGTAGGGTTTATAAATTGTGAAAACCCGCAACTGTATTATAAGTAATGTTATATTTTAGCGTCCTGTTAAGACTGATTCATGTCCATGGTTTATGCTGACCGCCTTACAGTGTACACACCTTTTCACCTTATTCTTCACTCCCACACTACATGTTTCAGCACTAATGTGCCATCCTCAGGTGTCTTTATGCACATTAAACTATTGTACTGCAGCCCATGATGTTTTCATTCTAAAATGACCAAAATCTGTATTCGTCTTATATGACGATGAATTCTAAATAATAAAACTTTTCTGGATTCATCCTACGTCGCACTCAAATACTCTAATTACACCAGTCTTCTTTTATGTGAGCATTCTTCGTACATACATTTGTGTATCGTGTTCTGTGTTGTGTTTTGCTCCTGTTACTGCAGTAGAACGCATGCAATAACAGGAGCAAAACACAACATAGAACACGATACACAAATGTATGTAGGAAGAATGCTCACATAAAAGAGGATTGGCGTAATTCGAGTATTTGAGTGCGACGCAGGATGAATCCTGAAAAGTTTTATTATTTAGAATTCATCATCATATAAGACGAATACAGATTTTAGTCATTTTAAAATGAAAACATGGCATGCAGTACAATAGTTTTAACGTGCATAAAGACACCTGAGGATGGCACATTAGTGCTGAACCATGTAGTGTGAAAGTGAAGAATAAGGTGAAAAAGTGTGTACACTGTAAGACGGTCAGAATAAACAATGGACGTGTTATAAGTAATTGTAGTTACGACTTGTAGGCTGTTAATTATACCAATTAACAATCCGAACGGCGTCAACAGTAGCAAAACACATGACAATATATATAACTTGAACTTAGACTCAGATTAACTGTATTAAATATGTTCATTGCCAAAGTTTAACTTTGTAAGGCTGAGTCTGCATAATTAAGAGTTAATTTATGTAAAACTGACCCTCATGCAATCAGAACCATAATACAGTAACTATATGGCATTTGAGATTTTCACAGCAGTGTGGACTCACATTCTGGTCTTCAACGTTATGTTACCCAGAAGAAAACATGAACTGTACAGGATCTGAGGTTCTCACACCGGTGCTTATGAAGAGTATCTTCTGGGATATGACAATGTGTATTCTATTGAAAGTCAACTGACAGCATTCCCAGTGGTATCTTGCTCAGCTTATTCAACCCTGAAGATAGAGGTGATGTTCTTCCAAAATGAGAGCTGACTTTAAATGGGCTACTTAACACTGTTGTTACACCAAGTTTATGTGGGACCAGTTGGGAGCTCTGTTGTCCCTGTTGCAAAGCACAGAGTTCATGCCACAAGTGATCTGAGGGGGTGAGGGTTTCTTCCCTGCTTTGAAGTGCCCAGAAGTTGGGTTTTTTATTTTTTGCTGTATTGGAGAGATCTCTCAAAGCTTTGGCAAGGGTTCACTGAGAGTAAGAGTATAAGAATCTCTTGCTAGGGGTAAATAACCTATTAAGAAGAGCAATTGGACAGGTTGGCAATGAAGTGGGTCAGTGAAAGGAGGCTCTTCTGTAAGGAACTAAGGCTTCAGTTCGAATGCAGTTATGGATCCAAGTCGAGCAGCAATGGGGAGCAAGCTGTTCCTGTCAGTAAAAGAAAGTGAGTGACTGTAGATTTCCTGCCACCAGTAATCCAAAATAAATTTTCCTTTCACATTGGAGGGCAATGTTGACTCATGATGTCAAGTAAATACAGCTCTTAGCTCTTGAGGGTTTTCATGTGTGTCCTAGGAGGGTAAAACTGAAAGAAGTATCTTGATGATGGTGAAGAGTCTGCCCATCAAAGAGGAGGAGGTGGATGCTGGTGATGAAATCCGTCCTGAGGGTAATTGAGGTCCTGTTAGTAACTTAGGCAAGATCTGGGACTTTTGGCTAATATACTATACTAACATATTGTGACATGTTGCGCATTAGAGAACACCTCCCTACCCAGCAATAACGTGGCAACTCAGGCCACAGTGACGTGGCGGATGAGTCAGCACTCCCTCCCCACCTCCGCAGTGACGTAAGACAGCGCGAGGTAACAGCGTTGCTAGGCTATACGCAAACACAGTGACGCGGCACCGCTTCCTACTGTGACGTGGCTGGCAACAGGTAACAGCGAACGGAATAAAAGCCGGCTGAGCAGCAAGTGAGAGCCAGTGTGTTATCAAAAGTTCTCAAGGTAGCAGCCTGCGAGTTGAGTTGGAATATAGCAGCTGTCGCGGAAAGAAGAACCAGATGTGTGTGTATCTGTGTAGTTGTAACGTAGCAGTCAGCGACTTCAGTTGTAGTTCTGAGTTAGTTCCAAGCAAGCCTACGAGCCGGTGTGTTATCAGCAGTTCTCAAGGCTGCTACCTACGAGTTAGTTCCAAGTTAGCCTGCAACCAGTCAGTTGCATTCTGGCATTTGGAGTGTAGTATTTGTGATACTGCAGATAAGCAGTAATTGTGAATCTTTAATTTGGGTGATTGTGAGTGCGAATGTGAAATAAAATTCGCTATATCAAATATGGCGTGAAGTTATTTGTCATGTTATACGCCCAATACGTCACAATATTGTGAAATGTTGTGCAATGGAGGACAACCCCTCCTTACCCAGCAGTGATGTGGCGGGTGAGTCAGCGCTCCATCCCCCCCCCCACCGTGACATGTCATGCAACACCGCTGTCGACACGACGTCAGCGGTGTTGCATGACATGTCACGGTG